CTAATTAAAACCTGCACTCAGCTTGCTGGGCCGCGCCGGACAGGAACGGCGGCGAACTATTTTCCTGACACAGAACTTTTTCCAACACGCTGACGTTTCCAACGCTGATGTTATCGAGAGCTGAATTTACCCATCAGTCGCATGGACCGGGGGCATCACTTGGGGCTCAGGGGCGGAGAACACAGACTGTAACTCTCCAAGGGGCCCATCAGTTCTGGGGACCCCAATAGAACTTCTTCGCCCCCACATAGTATCATGCGCAAAGCAAACCCAGTATAGTTAATGCAGAACTCCGGGAAACATTTCCTTAACCCTTGCAGTGCTGTAAATATTATATATATTATAATATATAAATACATTTATATTTTAATATACTGTATATATACACATTATATTACCAAAAGTATTGGGCCCTCCCCCTCCAAATCATTGGATTCAGGTGTTCCGTGACCTTTCCCGGCTACTAAATATTCCGCGGTCGCCTGTTACTGGGATTATAACAAAGTGGAAGCAACTGGGAACAACAGCAACTCAGCCAGGAAGTGGTCGGCGAAGATATTTTTTTACATTTTATTTCTATTATTTTCTATATATTTTAAAGGTGTCTCCTGATCCCAAGACAAGGGCTTTGTTATCTTCAGCCTCACGTTTACGTTTAGATTACAATTTCTTGTTCCGTTGTTCTGGATTTCTCTCGTATTCTAAAGCCAATTGCCACGCTTTATAACCAGGACTCCCCTCCCCCCCTCCCCCCCCGGTGTCACCAGGGACAGGTGAGATGATGATGTGGTCACTCACTACCATAACAACAGCATTGTCTCCTTGAGGTCAGATTGCGTCCATATGCTATGATGGCCAACTGAGCGTGCAAATGTTTGAGGTGTGATGTCATTGCCGGCGGCATTTTGGAGCGTCAGTTCTGGTTTAGGAGCTGAACTCCGAGACAAGCAAACATCTATCATGCCTAAATACATGTGTCGTGTCGCGCGTTACGCTACGGCAGCCCGTTCAAAATAAATAGCCGACGCACCCTTACCTGCTTAAAAAAAGCATATGACCCTTTTTTTTTTTTCTAATGCAACGCACCGCGGCGCACAATCGCCTGTTGGGGTGTGCTACAACGCAGGTGCGTTGTCTTAGTGCATTGGCGTGCCGTTCAAAATGAATGGCGCTGCAGCAAACGCATGTTATGTCAACTAAGAAGTGCCAATGGGCTCTCGGTGACAACTGCAGCTTTAAAAAATGTTAAAAATGGACTTTGGGGGCAAGTGGGACACGTATCTGATCCAATCCATGGGCCAAACCCTCCCCTGTGGTCTCATTATGTTCTTGTGCATTGAGTGGCTGCTTCCCCCACTTTGACCACCCACCTAGGGTCGCCGCCATTTTTTTTCAAGCGAAACCCAAACACTCTAGCCACGCGCGGACATTTTTTGGGGGAGAATGAGTCGCGGCTTCTTCATATGTAAATAGCACCCACAAAGCATTGCAAGACCTAACAGTCACGGCTCGCCATGGGGAAGCCATGGCATACTGGGATTTGTAGCTTCCCCAAAGCTGGAGCACCAGATTTCAGTGTTTATGGACATATTGAATGTATTTTAACCTTGATGTCTCTGGGGGACCTTATCGACAGGAGCATCCCGAGGCCGAGTGTCACCCGGAGCGGAGAAGGGGGTGACACCCGGTCGTGACGCCATCTCGCATGCGCGGTCATCTTATTGACGCCTGCCATCACCAAGAGAGAGGAGGGGACGTTCACCCGGCGGGATGAGGCATGCCGCCGGGTCCCTTCCTCTCCTGACACTGTCGGGCTCTCGGTCCACGATC